CTATTTACGGATCTCTCTGGTGAAGTGCAAGACAACAGATTAAGAAACAATTCGTTCCTTTAATTCTTTTCAATGATATCTGCCCGGTCACTCATGCGCTTCCTTTAATGCTTAAATGAACAGTCTCACTTATTCACTTGGCATCTGCCATATCTATACTATTTTGTTCGAAGAGAGATTAGATATTAGTTGCATTTAATACGATTAGTCCTTTGAGAATTCGAAATTTCATCTCGTAATCTTTTTGTCAAGAAACAAGATGCCCAACAACTTACAGGCAACTTTTGCAAATTATTGGCGCAATTTAAACTAATGTGAATTACTTCCTCTCCAAACACATTTGCAACAATCAATATGATTTACTGGTTAGTATTACAGCACCACATTCTATCAGTTACAACACAGCACGCTCATTCGACCAGTCAGGGTTTTTCCAGGAGCAACTTGGCTGTTTGTTTCTCGAGTAATTGCGCAGGACGGTCCCCATTTTGTGGGTCAAAAGCAAATACAGCTGAGTTTTCTGTTCATGAATAACTTTGTCGATAAATATCGATCGATCCATGACGAAAAATGCATGCACTTAACACTCACACCTTACTTTCCAGATTATAACATGAAACGAAATATTTTAATTTGTTGATAAAGGCGCTTCTAAAAATTATATGAAAGATTTCTCGGCCTCTTATCATAACTATCTTTGGAGTTTATATTGATATTTCAAATTCATGCAAATACTAATTTAGAAACTTCAACCACGAACGAAAGTAAAAAAAGCAAAACTGATTGCCATATTGTTCCGAACATTTCACAATCCTACGTTTTTTAACATTATACTGAAGTTTTACATAAAGCAAAATGTAACAGTCTCTACGGGTTTAACAAAATACAATCTGCTTCACAAGAGCTAGTCCAACACATGTGAAGTGTCCTAAACCCTGCCCCAATCCTAATTCCTTCCAAATTCTGGTCGCTGGGTAGTGACGCAGGAGCGCGTAGTAGGAGACGCGTACGCGGAGATGCTACTTGGCGGTCCTCTTAACAACTGACTGCGACGAGACGTGACGTGACGATATTTAATGGAGGATTACTTAAAGCGCCAAAGGGTCAACCCCCCCCCCCCCAGGGGCTTGGAGACGCGCTGAGTCTATGTAGACGCAACAAATTCAAAAATCTCGTTCGTTGAATGACAGACTACACTAGAATGAAGAATACGTACTAGAAAACATTACTAGCTATTATAGAAGTATTAATTGAGATGCGAAATAATTTGTCCAGAGAAGATGGTCATGATAAATGGTAAACTATTAAAAACGTCAAGGTTATCGATTTAAGGCAAGAACAATCTTTTTAATTTTAATATATTCTTATTTGCAATATTTTGTCAGAACAATAGGCATATATGATGATAAATTAACAATGTTAAAAGACTAAATGGCCAATTTTCAGAGAATCCGCGTTTGTCATAGCTGACAACATCCAGAGACAAATTTTGGGAGGGTAAATAAAACATTTTTTGGTCTAATTGTCATTACACATTTTGTATAATGTCGCAGGTCATACTGAGCTCATGCTGTGATACGATTTTATTCGCTTCAATGATTTTCCGAAAAATTTTTTGCTTGAAACTTATGTGACTAGTTAAAATTTATAGTTACTGAAAAATGTTTGGGGGGGGGACTTCCCTCATTTCCCTTCCCGTGGATTCATGCCAGTAAATAAATGTATGATAACGACTCGAGTGAACTCTGTTCCTTTTCTTGTGTCCGAAATATATGAACGACACGTGACAAAACTGGCACGCGGAAAACATTCCAGGGTGGGGGCGCTGCAAAAATTTTGCGTTTTATTCAATTCGAAGACGTGAAGTAAGTACGTACTAATACCGTTTACCTTTCTTAATTAGTTACGGGGAAACATTATATGTTTCCTTTTCTTGGTAAGAGAGTGAGGGGGAAAATTAAATTCTAACAAAAAAAATTCCGCCCTCAGAATTATATTGCGATGCAATTTATTTCGAGAATGGCGGATATACTACTCCACTACTCTTCCAAGAAAATCGTGCTGAAATGTTCATCTTTCGAAAGTCATCAATTGCAGGTTTAAAACATAGAAAATTATCACTATTTCTTCATATCAGAAGATAGTTTGCCCACAACGATATTTTCACACACACGAGTTTTTTCAAAAATTTAGAAATAATATCACGAAATCACAGTCATAAACTAAAAAGTTTTTATTCATTAAAGTCGTTTTGCGAGGTTTCAGAATCACGTTTTTGCCATATCTTCATGCATTTTGAAAGACAACATAATTAACGCATTGTAATAAATTAATGTGTACAACAGTCAGTTCACAAGCATTTCCAGCAATGTGGTTACATTAAGAGGATTGAAACGAACCAGGAGTGTGTCCAGACGATCATTTTGGAGGGAGCCATCATAGATTTTTGTTAAATAATAAACGTTTCTTATTATATTCAATATTGTTCTTATGGTGTATATAGATACTATACAATATTATTTTTTAAATAATTACATAATCATAATATAAATAAATTTAAAAATCAATTTTGCCAAATAAAATATGGTAACAAAGAAAAATCTAGGCCCTTTTTGGAGGGGGGGGGGGCATGCCCCTCCTTGATCCGCCACAGAAATGAACCGAATGGAAATTTCCTTTCCAGAAACATAATTAAAACTAATACTCTCACCAGATTAAACATTACATGACTTGACAGAGAAATGAATTTGGAATTTACTTCAAACTGCAAAACGTAAATAATAAAGTACATCCTTGAGAAAGAGTTCACAAGAAGCTATACATAAGCAAACTGTGTAACCTCAATCAATTCAATGTGAACAAATTTTGGGAGTTCAACCAAGACATTGTAGTCAGGACTAACATATTTGAATAAAAAGTTTGATTCTATTGCACACTTTGTAATGTTAGAGACTTCAACCCACTTCTCTGAAACTTAGATAAGAATCCGATAAGTCAAGTTGCTTTCTCTCATTAACACATGCACACATTATTCAGTAAACTCTGTCCTGTACACTAGCTTGCTCAACTCAATTTTCATAGTCTGCAGCTAGCTGACTGAAACAAAGATTAATTAACATTGCAAATTACATCATACATAAATTAAATATTAAACTTTGGGATTCTGCAAAAAGTGATTTATATTACTACATCATATCTTTATTTGTTGTCAAAATACTAATATTAATTTATGTAAAGGTATATAAAACCATTTTTCATCATGTTCTCCTTTTTTGATTTCAATATAGATTTTCTAAAAATATTATTGATCTTATTAAAAGAAGATTTTTATAAAGTGTTAATTTTATTATAAAGCAAATAATTTTTGTTCAGTTTAGCAATGTGAAACCACTTAATGAAGCAAATCTTCTAATCCCAAAATCATATTCATTAAAATAATAATAAAAGTAATAAAATATTTATTGAGTCACTTATACTATTTCAACCCCATATGACCAGTCAAATATGATTTATGCAGGTGCACAAGTCTTCCTGAGTTCCAGAATCCCTACTCTCTTACACAATGCATAATAGTACCTACTTGTATTGTATATCACACTACACACAGGTTTTCAAGAATAAATAGATCTTAAGGGACATCCATACATTACATATTGCAAATCTGGAGTATTTTAGATACCCCCTCCCTCCTATAAACTGAGCTTAAAACTAACTAAATAATTATATAACCTATGTCAATCGCCCATTTATAATCAGTAAAACTAAGTTACATGGATAGCAACAATAAAAACAATTTGTATAAATTTTATTTGTTGTACATTAAAACCAATAATAATTAGACAATTTCAATATTTAATACCTAAAGAAAAAATGTTCAGGAATAGTCCCTCAATGGGAATGATATATTTATCTACTGCAATTGCAGGAGCGTAAGTCTTCATCTTCCACCCCTATTTTAATATCTTTCCTTGGAATTATTTTTGTAAATATTGAAAAATTAAACAAGTAAATGTCAAGGTTACATAACACTAAACAAACATCCCCCCCTATGAAACTTAACAAGGCTTCCTAAATCTCCTTCATCCCCCTTGTGTAATTTATTGATGATACCCTTTCAATATCCACATGTAGTCGATTCAAATCACAACTGACAACACAAGAAGACACACTCTACTTAAGTTTTAAACAAACCCTTGGAATCCTGACCCTTTTTTGGAACGTGTATGTGACACTTTTGCAGAATTATGTATTTTATGACTTCATGGCACATTGATCAACCACAAATTAAAGAAAATTAATTATCCAATTAGAATTAGAAACAAAATGATGTGGCTTTGAATAATGATAACATAATAATTTTATTTTGTCATCACAACAAGAACAATGATCCAGTTATTAATCATTTAAAGAGATAATCATAAACAATAATAAAACTAAATGGTAAGAAATAACTAAGAAAAATATTTTAGATTCCACAAAACAACTTTCCCACAATGAATATTTCTGAATTCAGAGAAAAAAAATGAAAGAAGTGATACCAACATTCAACCAATTCAGATGATATACAATTTCTCAACACTCGATCTAATAAGGATATCTGCACACAAAATTTATTTGGCGTTAACATTAATATGCATATTTAATATTGTATAAATATTAGTACATATAAAACTTTTAAACAATAAAACAAAGCAGTTGATACTTTAAGATAAGGACACAAAATTATGCAAGACATTTTATGCTATTTACACAAAGCACATTTAAAGCACACAGTTGCTGAAAAGTGTTTTTTAACATGTTAGTAGAATGCTTATAACATAAATATTCTACTATGAAAACACTTTTGCATCAGTTGAATAAATAGGCTTTATGATAGCTTATATGCAATTTGTATTTTTTCAGTTGTTACAGAACTCCTATTTAATATGAACTAAACTTCAGTACATTATTCGCATGGTTCAAATTAAATATGGTTTACCCTATTATTCGCACTTCACTACCTTGTCAGAAGATGCAGCAACAGCAACAATTCGATGGATACTCTTCATAGTGCTGGAACTACAATGTTACCGAAGAATAATTTTCGGAGAGAAAACGCAATAATACTATGCCAAGCTTCAAAGTTTACGTGAAGATTAACCTTCATCCCCGAAAAAGGATCAAAGTACGACAGTACACGATGACGTCAAATCTATAAAATTATTATAGACGTCCTCGCAAGTACGAGTACGAATGGTGTAACCACAAATAGAACATATGGTGTCTGCCACATTTAAGTGTCCAGACTAAGATATATCCAGAAACTGCATGACACTTCGCAATTATATGAGAATAGTACTTAAAATACATGTTTACAATGGACTAATATGTATACAAACATGTTCAACTATTTCTGAAGTATAGAAAGTACGTAATCTTCTGGTAAGAACATTTATAATTCTCGGATCTGACAAGGCTCACCTGAAACGAATTCTTCTCGGGAACTGCCATTATTCGAAATTAGCGAAAACCTACAATACGATAGTTACACCACTGATTACAGATGTCTGCAAATCAGAAATACAGAACACAGGTGATCAGGATTTGACAGAACATCCCAGAGACAAGCAACGTCGTCTGCAGTTCATTGCGATTACAGAGCACTCTAGCGATGTTCTCTGTTTCTCGCGGAGAACCTACAAATGTCCGGTATTTTCAAATTTTCTTTCGCATCGTGCGAAAAATTTTCTTTTACACCAGTGGGTGAGGGAACGATTATGAGACCTGAAATGATAATTATGAGACCTCTAATACTATTTAAGCATAAAGAATTTACAATTCCTGCAACGCACCACTTTCCGTTGTGCGTAACATGCTCCCTGCTTGTTCTTCAATCATTGTGTTGAGCGATAATAACCTTAGGTGAAATTAGAGAGGGCTAATATAAAGTAAAGAAGCCGTGAGAAATAAACATAAACACAAATTTTTTAGACATTTTTATATAAATTCAATAATAAAGTAATGGAATTAGTGATAGTTACAAGACATACAAAATACCTCTTACAAACTATCTGCAACCAAATCAGTACAACAAATGCACTTTTGATTTTTGAGATGTTTCTTATATGATACATTTTATTTGCTGTGGTTGAATAACTATATTATTGATTATTTGCCCGAGAAATGAACAGAGAGCATATTTACAATTTTCTCCTGAGGGGATTACATCATAACGTCATCAAACATTTTGAAATCAAGTGAAAATGAAAAGTGACACTATTATGTATTGATCCGATGAATAGACCAGTTAAAAAAGATATTTTCGTTTATACAACACATACTGAATTAATTGAAGAATGCTTATGAGAAAGTTGTCTTTCCCACTTTCTTTGAACATTTGGAAGAAAATGGAAATCCGCAAAGAGGCACTTATATATGGATTAATTGTGTCCCTGTCAGGTACATATTAACACTTTCCAGAGAGGGTCAGCAAACTCACTGTGCAGGGCAATCTCTGGTATCTTTTCAAGTCAATTCATATGTATATGAACAAGAGACCGACAGCCCCTGTGGCGTCGGGCACATTGATGAGATAACGACAATAATGATGTGAATAATTGTGGATCAATGGTGGGATGAAAGACAGGGGAACTAAGAGAACAATGAGAAAACCACAAATTAGTTGGAAATGAGAAATAATGAAATGCTGAAATAAGAGGTATGGAAAATGTGAGAATCTCAAGAAAAATACATTTCATCTACCATAAATTTCACAAGAAATGTCTTTATTTGAACTGTTGTATCCATAGGTGGAATGCTAGCACAACAGTTGTGACAATTCACTCTGAAAAATGTCAATGGTTGCAAAAACTACTTTCTTCAAAAAGGAAACTGTGATTAAAATTAATGTGAAATTTATACTTATATAAAACAATTAATTGCAGCTCTCAACTGGCAGACCTCCTGCTCAATTGAGCTGTGTGATTGGTAGTTTCTACAGAACTTGGGTCTTACATGTATTAATCAGTCTGGTATTAACCGAAATTATAGTTTCTCAAGAGAAAAAAAGAAATTTTCATTGATCACAAATAATTAAATGCAATGACACCTGATTTTAAACCAAGAATTTGTTAGAAAATTTCTTATGAGAAAAGATCAGAAATTTATTTAGTGGAGTTATATCATATTTCAGAAATGAAAATAATATTGTCAACCTGGGGATGATTATTCACAATTAAAGAGGTAAGAGTGTGAATAAGTAATTGTGTTTCAATATTTAATGCATGTAAGCAAAAGAAAGGAAGATGATCATAAGTCAGCCTTTATTGTTTTTGTTGATGTCAGATGCCTTTCTAATGACTGATGGGCAGTCCAAGAATTGTTTCTGAATGGTATTCTTTATTCAATCAAACAGTGTAACTTCCATGTTCTAATTACCTTTAAAGTCTCTTCTCATCATTATCGAGGGTAATTTAATATGTTGACACGATCATTACTGAAAGTTTTGAAATGAAATGTTTATCTTTATGTAGCATTTATCTAAGAAAAAAATACATTTCATTAATTTGTGATATCCTTAAATAGGTATGTAAGTGGAAAATACGCATTGCATCATTGAATCATGTGCAACTATTTAATACAGAAATTGTACCACAAAAATCTTAGAGATTATTAAGTTACTTGCACCCATGGCATAAATATAATATTAATTCGTCAGTCCAGTTGCCCATGGTAGTTATTCTACCATGCATGTGTTTTACCATCATGATATTTTGCACCCTCAAAATGTTCCTTCAAACTTGAAGAAAATTTTACAGGATTGGATTTTTGAATGTTCAGAGGTATCTTGAAATGCTATATCATTTTGATCAGTGAAAGTTTTCAACAATACTGATTTGTAAACTGTTTTAATATGTTGTATATCCATCAGTGGAGAGTTTCAACATGTGAAAACATAATTTTTCCCAAATACGTCAAATAGAACCTTGTCATTCCGAGGCCGCAATACGTGAGATACGATCAACTTCATTATCACACAGGTTATCATCATCATGAACATCAGGTTTTGGTCTGTTGACCTCTACCATTTCATTTAACCAGTCACATCTATGGTGTTTCTGGTCTTCCCAATGTTTTTTGGTCTGCTTGGGTCTCTTCTTCCTCTTGACTGATATTTAACCTGGAGATGATCAATCTTTCTTGGAAAATGATCTTGCTTCATTCTTTTTACATGTTCTTGCCTTTTCTTTTTGTATTTCTCAATTTCTAAAACTTTTTTTTGCTTTGAGTTTTATTTTAAACTCTCTTCACTTCTTATCTTGCCTTTTCTTGATATTTTTAAAATTGACCTAAGATATTTCATTTGGGAAGATTTGATTTTCTTTTATCTCTTTGGTTTAGACATGTGAAAATCTTCTCAATAATCTCTCAATAACTCAATATTTTGAATGCAACTGAAATAATGTATGTAATGTAAATACATTTTTCTCTCAATGTTTATTTTATGCATAATTCAAATGCAACTAGTATTTGGGGAGTACAATTTATTATGTTGTTTGTATATAGGAAATCTGATTTCACTTTAAATATTTGAAATTAGAATATGGCATATTTTCATTAATATTAAATAAGTGCAATGTAGGCACTAGGCAGAAATTTGATTTCATAATACAAATACAAAGTCAATGCAATAATTGAGAATTAAATATAATATCCCAATATTTTAAGTCTATCTGAAATTTGTATTCACGTTATGTTTATTCTTCTCTATTACATTGTGTGACAAGTGTCACAAAATTTAATGATGATCCTGACAAGATTTAATTTGGAATTCTATATAGGTGATTTTCTTTAATCTAGAATTTTAGTTGGTATTTTAAATTCAATTGGAGATTATAATACACATCAAACAAGAACTTTTCAAGGAAGTTTCTCATGATATTATTAATGTTTTCTCTAAACTTTTAAATTTTTATTATATACCCAGGAACCTAGGAAAAAGCCAAAGACAATGAAACAGATTTGATTTTCACTAAAAAAGCAAATACTTTATTATGATATTTTACCTGTTCTAATACTGCTGAATTCTCATGCTCAGTGCATCACTTCTTATAACACAGCTGATGTCATACGATGTCAAGGCTCCAAAGAAGAGCTCGACCCCATTAAATATTACAATTCACATGTTGGGGTAGGGAAAAGCAATGTTTTTTATATTCTTGGTAGTATGTAAAGAAGTGTTGCAGTACATAAATACTACACTATGTTAAGACAGTATTAGTCAAGACTGTTGTTGTTAAAATATTTAATTTATTGCAGTATTCTTAGTGAATATTTTATTTGTTTTTCTTGAGCAGTATGCATTCCACTTTCTGGAAAAAACATTTTGTGTGGTTTTGTTCAGTAGTATTTTTGCTGCTGACATTGAATGGAACATTGAATGGAATCTTTTAATTTTTAGAGATTTTTCATTTGAAGACCCGATGAAATTTTCAAATTTTTCTTAAAAAGTGTCTCAGATTATTTCTTTAAACTTCTTGCTCAAATAGATCAGAGTGCACTAATAGATTTTCATTTAAGTGCATTAAAAGTCTGATGTTATTAACGAGTATGAATTTTCAAAAACTGCAAAGGTTCAACTTTTTTCCAATCCTCTCCTACACCATTATTATTGAAGGTGAAGGTTTATTTAAAACAACCTATTTTTATGAGTATAAATTATTTTAGGTATTTTGTTTAAAAATATTAATAATGTTCGTGTAATTTTGAATGAAATCATGTACATTTTCTAAAAATAAACTCAGAAGATTTTCACAAAAACATTTCTCTTAACTTTTTGTTTAGATAAAGGAAGGTACAGAACAAAAAAATTGGGAATAATTTAGAAGAAGCGCTATTTTCATTTCAACTTTTCAATAATCAAAAATTGCACTTAAGTGTAACCTATTTGATCTTTTTTCTAGGGGATTAAGACACTTTGTAAGGAAGGAATAATATACTACTTTTTCCACTTAAGTCACTGAAAGATTGAAAATAATAATGAAAATAAAAAATGTACTACTTTCCTATATTCAATTCTTGGTTTTACATTTCCTCCCATTGTTATTTTCAACTACAAGTGAAAATGGATGTTTTTAAATATTGTGGTTTATCATTATTGATAAAGATTTATTTATAAATATTTCTGCAAGTTGCTTCATTTTATTTTTTATTTCGGATAATATATTTGATGATCAATGTTTCTAGGAAAAACTCGAAAGTCTTCACCTCAGAATATTCTCTGATCTTTTATCATGTCTGAAACACAGTTAACCCTACTGTGTCTCATTATTATGATTGTTTTCGATTAAACAGGTAACTGTAGTATACAATTTATACTAGTTGTATTTTTTTTATTTTATAGCCGAGTTTAGGTATTATCCGCGTACGTTTTCTTGATCCCTCGCTTCGCTAGATGCGAGAGGAGTGGGGAGTTTGGTTATTTTGACAAAAGGAATTTTATGTCGAATTTGTAATTAATTTTTCCATGCAAAATAGTTTCTAATATACGGGAGGAACATTTCTTGTTATTAGATATTGTCTACAACGCTCGTTTCTACCATTTATTCTTAATTGAACTAATATTGGGAAAGGAGTAGAGGTTCGCGAGCGCAAGAAAACGTGCGGATATAATACTAAACAGTTTTTCTTCTGCAAGATCATGCATCGCCCGGTAGAGTTGACTTTTTCTAGAAGAGTCGTACCATATGACCGAGAATCATTGTGATACTCTTCGATCATTTAGGAACATCCTGGAAACATCGTGAAGTATAAACCTGCACTCTTTATCCGAGGATCGCACTACGGCAGCGATTCTGCAATTTTTCTTTGTTCCC